ATCTTATAGTTCTAATAGATTGTCTAACTATATTGCCCTTTGGTGGTTTTAATACGATGCCAAGTCTGGACCCTTTTTGCATTTGAGGCGTTATCTGTAAAGAGGGCCCAGATCCTCGAAGAAGTCCCCGAGTTCAATAATAACTCTCTTTCAACTTGGGGTACCAGTGCCGGCGTAAAATCGACCATAAAGTCTGCCAGAATTTGAGATTTAATCGCAGTTCAAGGCCGATATTCAATTTCGTACCTGCTGACCTCAACGACCCACTTCGCCAACCGTCTCGAGAGTTCGGGTTTATGCATTATATTTCTCAATGGGTAAGTAGTCACAACACGTATGGGGTGGCATTGAAAATACAGTTTCAACTTCCTAGAGGCGCTTAGCAAAGCAAGCGCCAATTTCTCTAGGTGGGGGTATCTAGTTTCGGCCTCACCTAAAGTTCTGCTAACGTAGTAAATTGGGAATTGCGTACCTTTTTATTCCCGAACCAGGACTCCACTTACCGCTATCTCCGAGACCGCCAAGTATAGGTATAGTTGTTTGTCTATCTTCGGCGTGTGGAGTAGCAGTCGGCTCGATAGATATTGCTTGAGCTCTTCCAAGGCCCGTTGGCATTCCGGAGTCCATGAGAAGTCACTTTTTTCTTCAATAATGAGAAGAATAGGTGACTCTTATCAGAGGACCTCGAGATAAATCGCCCCATAGCGGTTATGCGCCCGGTTAGCCTCTGCACGGACTTTATGTTATCTACGACCGTGATATCTTCGGTGGCTTTGATCTTATCGGGGTTAATCTCGATTCCCCGATTGGATACCATGAATCTGAGGAATTTACCTGATCCAACTCCGAACACACACTTCTCCGGGTTCAGCTTCATGTTGTATTTTTTCAATACGTTGAAGGTTTCCTGCAAGTGTTTTAAATGGTCCTCTACTCACAGAGACTTAACCAACATATCATCAATGTAAACTTCCATTGATTTTCCTATTTGTTCTTCGAACATCCGGTTTACTAGGCGTTGGTAAGTGGCACCGGCATGTTTTAACACGAATGACATTACGTTATAGCAGTATGTGCCGTATTTAGTGATAAAGGAGGTCTTTTCTTGATCATCCGGGTTCATCCGTATTTGATTTTACCCGGAGTAGGCATCGAGAAAACTGAGGATCTCATGGTCGGTCACGACAACGATCATGCGATCGATATTTGGAAATGGGAAGGAGTCCTTAGGACATGCTCTATTCAAATCCTTATAGTCTATACACATTCTTAATTTATCCCCTTTCTTGAGAACTACCACTATATTTGCTAACCAATGCGGGTATTTAACTTCCCGAACGGACCCTATTTTAAGGAGTTTGGATACCTCGTCCTTGATGAAAGCACGTTTGACCTCGGACTGGGGCCTCCTCTTCTGCTTGACCGGGTAGAACTTCGAATCCAAGCTTAGCTTGTGAGTGGTTATTTCTGGTGGTATCCCTGTCATATCGAGGAGGGACCAAGCAAAACAATCTTTGTTAGCTATAAGAAATTGAATGAGTTTTTTCCTGAGCTCGGGGTTTAACCACGTGCCCAGGTAAACCTTTCGATCGGGCAAGTGTTCATTTAATACGACTTGCTCCAGTTCCTCGACTGTTGATTTTATAGTGTTGGAGTCATCGGGGATTATGAAAGACCTGGGGACTCCGTAGTCGTCACCATCGTCTATCCCCCGCTCCTCCAATTCTGTCGAGGTTGGTATCGGTGATTGCTATTTGGCCCCATTTTTTATCACCGGATTCGGACTATTATATACTGTGAGTGTGGATGTCGAGATCACATCATCGACTGCGAACATTTCCCTTGCGGTCGATTGTTCCCCATACACTGTTTTGGTTCCTTTGGGCATCAGGAATTTCAACACCTGGTGTAATGTCGAGGGTATTCCTCTCATGTTGTGAATCCATGGCCTTCCAAGATAAGCGTTGTATCTCATGTCCCCTTCGATTACATAAAACTTGGTTTCCTGAATGGTTCTGGTGACATTTACCAGTAATGTTATTTCCCCTTTAGTGGTCTCACAGGCCATATTGAACCCGTTTAGGACTCGGAATGCAGGTACGATCTGACCTTGTAGGCCGAGTTGTTCCACGACCCTCGATCTGATGATATTGGCTGAGCTACCTGGATCAATCAACACACGTTTAATTCGATATTTATTTATGAGTATCGATATTACCAGTGCATCATTGTGGGGTTGTGTGATCCCCTCTGCGTCTTTGTCGTTGAACGATAAGGTTCCTTCCGGTAGGTAATCTCGAGTCCATTTTTCCCTTGTGATGGAAAGTTTGGTGAGCTTCAACATCTGTCCCTGGGGGATGTCGACTCCACCGGTGATCATCTTTTTGACGTGTTGAGGTTCCTCTGGTTCAGTTTGTTTATTCAAATCTCTGTTCCTGAAATGACTCTTGGCCTGATCACTGAGGAATTCTCGGAGATGCCTGTTGTTGAACAGCCGGGCTACTTCTTCCCTTAATTGTCGACAATCTTCTGTTCTGTGATCGTGAGTGTCGTGATATTTGCATATAAGGTTAGGATCCCTTTGGGATGGATCGGATTGCAAAGGTCGAGGCCATTAGGTATCTTTGATGTGTCTGATGGCGGATGTAACAACCCCTTTGGGAGGGTGCTACTTACGAAACAAATCTAATTTACTACTTACAACATTAAGAAGATATTAATTAAAAAGAATATTCAGAATAATTTAGTAACGGAAATAGGCTCATGCGATGAGGTCCAAAGTGCAATATTTTTATTTTTGAAAATACTCTTCATAATTTTTATTTTATTTTTTTAAAATAAAATACAATGTCAAAATTTCAACACAAGGTGATATAACCCTTCTTGAATAATCAACACGTTAAAGCAACTTCCTAACAAAATTATACTTTCATTCAACATCACTGCAAGTTTATATTGTACATAAATTTCAAACTATCGGGTATAAAAAGGAAAACTAGTTTTCTCCTTTGTATATATATATAAGACAAAGTGTAAATTTAACATATTACAAGACTTGAGCTATTAACACACCTTAAAATAACAAAATAAGTTACCAAATTCAAGCCACTGTGAGATGCATCACTGTATACCACATAATCTTTCCTTTCAGCTGGCAAAGAAAGTATTGGAGCTTGTGTCAACAAGGATTTGAACTTTTCAAAGCTCTCTTGACACTTTTCATCCCACACAAATTTGGCGTCTTTCCCCAAAGATTTGGTCAAAGGAGAAGCTATAATAGAGAAGCCCTTCACGAACCTCCTATAGTATCCTGCTAAATCTAAGAAATTTCTAATCTCAGTTGGAGTTTTAGGAGGTTTCCAATCAACAATAGCTTGAATCTTACTAGGATCAACCTTCACACCTTCAGCTGATATAATATGCCCCAAAAACGCCACTTCACTCAGCCAAAATTCACATTTGGAAAGCTTCGCATAGAGTTGCCTCTCTTTCAGAATTTGCATGACATTCCGGAGATGTTTATCATGATCTTCTCTATTCTTAGAATAGAATAAAATGTCATCAATAAACACCACCACAAATTGATCGAGATAAGGCTTGAATACATGATTCATTAGATCCATAAATGTAGTAGAAGCATTTGTCAAACCAAATGGCATTACCAAAAATTCATAATGGCCATACCTGGTCCTAAAAGCAGTTTTAGGAACATCTTGCTCCCTCACGCGCAACTGATAATATCCAGACCACAAGTCAATTTTTTAGAACAAGCTGACACCCTTCAGTTGGTCAAACAAGTCATCGATTCTAGGCAGTGGATATTTGTTCTTGATTGCTACCTTGTTCAGCTGTCGGTAATCAATGCAAAGCCTAAGAGTGCCATCTTTCTTTTTCACAAAATAGGACCTCCCCAAGGCAAAATACTGGGACGAATAAAACCTTTTCTCAAGAAGTTCTTGCAATTGAGCCTTCAACTCTTTTAATTCAGCTGGAGCCATTTTATAAGGAGCAATAGAAATAGGAGTAGTTCTAGGGACAAGCTCTATAGGAAATTCAATCTCCCTTTCCGGAGACAACCCAGGAAGATCATCAGGAAATACAGCAGGAAAGTCGCACACGGTTGGTATGTCTTTAATACTTGTACTCCCCAATTGTGTATCGACTATATGAGCAAGATAGGCATCACAACCTTGACAAATTATCTTCCTTGCCAAGACGGCAGAAATAATATTAGTTGTCAATGATCTTTCTCCTTGAACTACTATGTGTGAGTATGCAGGAGTTCTAAAAGTCACTTGCTTCAACCTACAATCAACCAACGCATGGTGCCTATGGAGCCAATCCATACCAACAATAACATCATAGTCTTGGAAGGGCATTTCAAGCAAGTCTGTAAAGAAGACCAGATTTTGAATCATGAATGGACAATCTCGGTAAATCCTGTTAACAACAGCCTGATGACCTAATGGACTCGTGACCAACACATCAAAGTCAAGTCTCACAGATTTAACAGTATCAGGAAATGCAAGTGATGAGCAAACATAAGAGTGCGAAGATCCAGGATCAAATAATATAACAACAGATATGTCAAATAAGTGAAATTTACCAACAACTACGTCCAGGCCATCTTGGTCATTCTTCTATCTCATAGCATGGACTCGTGCAGTAGATCTCGACCCACTAACCTGATTAACTCCACCCGAACCCGCCGCTTGCATATTTTTAGGTCTTGCACCGCTATTAGCTTGAGAATGAGTAGTGATAGGCTTTTGAAATGAGCCATTGGTATGTGTATAAGAAAGAGGATTAGGATTAGGGCAATCCTTCACTTTATGATCCATACTTCCACAATTAAAACAAGCACCAGAAGCTCTTCTGCATGCACTATAGTGATTCTTTCCGCACTGTGCACAAGTAGGTGTATAAGTTTTGCCTTGGCCATAACTTGGAGTACTAGCAGTAGAGAAATTTGGCTTATTCTACTTATGATATGATAACTTCTATGCACTTTCAGTCTTGGAATAGTCAAATTTTCCCTTCTTGGATCGATCGCCATAATCTGAATTACCCTTCCTAAACTTGTTTTCTCTCCTACTAGCTTCTTCCTTGTCAATTCTTTCCCAAGTAAGAGCAGCTGAAATTAGCTTGGAAAAATCCCCGAGTTGCAAGATTGCCTCAGATTTTCGAATGTAACCATTCAAACCTTCTTCAAATCTTCTACACTTGTCTCTTTCACCATCAATAATACCTCCAGCATAGCGAGAAAGCCTGAGAAATTTTTGTTGATACTCTGCAATAGGCATACTCCCTTGTCTTAAGTTCAGAAACTCTTTTTTCTTTGCATCACAGTAGACATGGGGGACATATTTCGCACGAAATGCTTTCACAAAGTCATCCCAAGTCAGTACCGGAGGTTTTGCTTTTGCATTTGGCACACTTACACACCAATCATAGGCATCGTTTTGTAAAAGAGAGATAGCATACTTAAATTTGACAACATTAGTACACTCTAGTTGTTCAAAGACCCTCTCTATGCGCTCTATCCATTGTAATTCAACTCCATCCATTTTCCTCATCTTCTCAAAATTTATTTCACTAGATTCTGACATTGTCCTAGCCAAGTGACGAAAGAACTCAACCATCTGTTAAAATGGAGGAGTCATAATAGGAGTACTATGACCCATTGCTCTTGGATTATTATTCACTTCATTTTCACTAACACGATGATGATTTAGGTTAGGCAAGGGTACCTCATCTCCTTCTTGGAGGTGAGGTGGAGCATTATAATGGGCCTGACTTTCATCAACAGATTCAATAGCTCTATTCGAAGAAGAGGCCATACTAAATTCCTATAAAAGATAAGATCACACTGCATTAGGGACATGGACATGATGCATATGCACAAGTAATTCATCAAATTACATTAAACAAGTATACAAAATTTTATAATCTCCAAGTCATTTTCAACAAAGAAAATAACAAAAATATTAGGTACGATCACAATAAAAATCCTAGAATCACAATCCTAGCTCTGATACCAAAACTTGTAACAACCCCTTTGGGAGAGTGCTACTTACGAAACAGATCTAATTTACTACTTACAACATTAAGAAGATATTAATTAAAAAAATATTCAGAATAATTTAGTAGCGAAAATAGGCCCATGCGATGAGGTCCATAGTGCAATAGTTTTACTTTCGAAAATACTCTTCGTAATTTTTATTTTATTTTTTTAAAATGAAATACAATGTCAAAATTTAAACATAAGGTGATATAACCATTCTTGAATAATCAACACGTTAAAGCAACTTCCTAACAAAATTATACTTTCATTCAACATCACTGCAAGTTTGTATTGTACATAAATTTTAAACTATCGGGTATAAAAAGGAAACTAGTTTTTTTTTTTGTACATATATATAAGACAAAGTGTAAATTTAACATATTACAAGACTTGAGTTATTAAGCACACCTTAAAATAGCAAAATAAGTTGCCAAATTCAACTTACAAGATTTTGGTCTTAATATCCAAGCCTCCAAATAACATACCCAAAACTATACAAAACCATGGTGCATATGCAAATGTGATCTCCATAAGTGCTCCCAAAAAGACTACTTCATAAGGTCGTCTTCAAATTTTATCATGTACATTACCTACGATAGAAAATAACTATCACTAAGCATAAAGCTTAATAGCGTATAAGCTTTAGGCTTGGAGACATTAACTTCTCTAATTCCATTTTCAGTCATAGGTAGCTCAAATGAAACATAAACAAGTGAAAAAATATATCAAAAGTATCAAATATCAACCCTTGAAGTGTTTCCAAATATCAATAACAATGTTCAAGATTCAAGAGTTGAGAAAGCGTATACTATCAATCCAAGAAAGCTTGTCAAATATCCATTTTTTGCCCAATGTGTACGCCATGTCATCACACTAAGAAAAATCAGATATTAAGATGGACCGAAGCCCCAAATCAAGTAGGGTCAAAACCCAATAGTCAAGAGAATCAAGAACCATATTAAAAATGGCTTCCTAGTTCATACTTAATACGGACAAGTTTCATAATTTAAGACGAAACTACAAATCCAAAGTCAAGATGGAAAAAGATCCAAATCAAGAGGCATGCCAAGCTGAGTGACAAAGTCACTATCACAAGAAGGACAAAGTCCCAACAAGAATGTAAAATGATCAAACAATCTGTACAAGTGGGCGATTTAGTAAATATCTTGCAATACTTGATATAACACGAATATAATGCTATTAATTGAAGACAAGAACAATAAAATATCAGGTTATTTCAAAATATTCCAGCAAGTAAAAATATTACTAAGTTTATACACAAATCTTGGTGTTTTACCATAAAATAGTTCAACCACAACTTGAGGACGTTCGAATCGTCTACGCCCTAGACAAACCAAATCCGTCCACTTCCTCAAACACTTTCCCTTAGCTTTTACAAGGATATATATACCTTAAATACATAATAAAATATCTATATAAGTTCAGTGATTTAACATGTCAAACTAAACATGATATTGGTGAAAATTACAAAAAATGTTTGAAACAGAAATTCTGGATAGTATCACTGTCTCGTGTTGTGACTCAGATTTGAAGATGAAAAAGGACAAACTAGACTGTGTGTTCTTATTTACAGTTGTAGATATGTGTCTTAGCATTTCAGAACATCTTGAATCACCCCCATATCAATTTTATACAAAAGGTTATGCTAAACATACTAACAGTAGTATATGGAGGGTTTGTAAAACAGAAAATCTGGGCAGCACATGCCTTGTAATTCATCACCTATTTTTGGATAAATAAAAGACAAACCAGAGTTTGGTTCCTTCATAAGAATTATAGATCTATGAAATAGCTTTCCAGAAAGTCTTAGATCACTTAAAATGGAGATCTATACAAAACGATATGAAGAAAATACTAATAGTTGTCTAGTATAAAAACGGGTTTAGTAACTTACCACAAAAGAGAGGAGCAACTTGAGCTTCACCAAGAACGAATTTTGCTGGTTGGTTTAGTGGAAATTTATGGTGGTTTTTATGAAGTTTTCAGATGATAAGAAGGAGAGGGTAGTGATTTTCTTTTTCTTGAAAGAATGAAAATGGGGAGTTTATGGAAGACTAAGTCAATCAAAGTTATCTTTAAGAATTTTGGATAAATATAAAATAAAAATGGTTGCCTAACTACTAAATATCCTTAGATAAATACAAAAGGGTGGCAGCCCAAAAACTTAATTATAATGTATTTAATAATAATTCATCAAAATAATATTAAGTGTTACACATAGCAACACCATGGAACTTCTTTGTCAATATTAACATAACCTAGAGTAAGGAATTTTCATGTATTGTAAATTTCACGTTTAGGAAGTGCAAGGTAAAAATATCTCCTCATTATAAAGATGCTCAATCGAAAATGCAAGTATTAGTAAAAATTTGGGGTGTTACAACTCTCTCCCCCTTAAATAAATTTTATCCCGAAATTTACGTGGTACTAGTCCCTAAACAAATGTGGATATTGAACTCGCATATCCTCTTCTCGCTCCTAGGTAGCTTCTTCACCAGAATGATTTTTCCAAAGAACTTTCACTAAGAGGATGCTCTTGTTTCTAAGCTCCTTTAACTCACGCGTTAAGATTTGGATTGGTTCTTCTCCATATATCAAATCCGGATTGACCTCAATAGATTCAATAGGAAGAACATGAGATGGATCTGAGCGGTATCTTCTAAGCATATAAACATGGAAGACGTTGTGGATCTTGTCTAACTCCGGTGGAAGAGCTAGTTTATAAGTAACTGGGTCAACTCTCTCAAGCACTTCATAAGATCCAATAAATCGTGGACTAAGTTTACCTTTTTGGCAAAATCTCATAATCTTATTCCATGGAGAAACCATTAAAAATACTTTATCACCCGCTTTATACTCAATTTCACGCCTTTTAAGATCAGCATAAGACTTTTGTCTGTCTGATGCAATTTTTAAGCGATCCTTGATGATTTTTACCTTATCTTCAGTTTGTTGAACAATCTCAGGACCCACCAATTTTATTTCACCAATCTCGTTCCAACAAAGAGGCGTTCTGCATTTTCTCCCATACAAAGTTTCATAAGGAGACATGCCTATACTTGATTGGTAGCTATTATTGTAAGCAAATTCTATCAGGGCTAAGTGTTTGTCCCAACTACCCTCAAACTCAATAATGCAGGCTCGAAGCATATCCTCCAAGATTTGTATTACCCTCTCAGACTGGCCGTCTGTTTGTGGATGGAAAGCGGTACTAAAATTTAACCTAGAACCCAAAGCTTCTTGCAAGCTAGACCAAAATCTAGATGTAAACCTTGGATCTCTATCAGACACAATAGAAATAGGGATTCCATGCAGCCTCACAATCTCATTAATGTATAATTTTGCCAAACGTTCCAATGAGTAGTCCATTCTGATTGCCAAGAAATGAGCACTCTTAGTTAGTCTATCTACAATGACCCAAATTGCATCATAATTCCTTTGAGTGCGTGGAAGTCCAGAAACACAGTTCATCGTTATCCTTTCTCATTTCCACTCAGGTATTGACAAGGGTTGCAGTAGACCAGCTGGGACTTGATGTTTAGCTTTTATTTGTTGATATACCAAGTATTTAGAAATGAACTTTGCAATGTCTTTCTTCATACCACTCCACCAGTAGTGCTCCTTGATTGTCCGGTATATTTTAGTACCTCCAGGATGCATTGCATAAGGCGAACTATGTGCTTCAATCAAGATCTGCTTCCTTAATTCATAATCATTAGGAACACACAACCTATTAATATAAAATAAGGTATCATCTTTCTTCAATGTAAAATCTGATTCTCTTCCATTTTGGACTTCTTCAACCCGTTTCACAAGCTTCTCATCTAACTCCCGCGCTTCTTGGACCTGCTCAAGTAAGACTGGCTTGACTTGCAAATTAGCTTTCCAGAAATAGCTTTCCATAAAAGACAAACCAGGTTTTGGTTCCTTCATAAGAGTTATAGATATATGAAATAGCTTTCCAGAAAGTCTTAGATCACTTAAAATGGAGCTCTATACAAAATGATATGAAGAAAACACTAATAGCTGTCAAGTGTAAAAACAGGTTTAGTAACTTACCACCGAAGAGAGGAGCAACTTGAGCTTCACCAAGAACGAATTTTGCTGGTTGGTTTAGTGGAAATTTATGGTGGTTTTCATGAAGTTTTCAAGTGATAAGAAGAAGAGAGGGTAGGGGTTTTCTTTTTCTTGAAAGAATAAAAATGGGGAGTTTATGAAAGACTAAGTCAATCAAAGTTATCTTTAAGAATTTTGGATAAATATGAAATAAAAATGGTTGTCCAACTACTAAATATCCTTAGATAAATACAAAAGAGTGGCAGCCAAAAACTTAATTATAATGTATTTAACAACAATTCATCAAAATAATATTAAGTGTTACACATAGCAACACCATGGAACTTCTTTGTCAATATTAACACAACCTAGAGTAAGGAATTTTCATGTATTGTAAATTTCACGTTTATGAAGTGCAAAGTAAAAATATCTCCTTATTATAAAGATGCTCAATCGAAAATGCAAATATTAGTAAATATTTGGGTGTTACAGCGGACACGATAGTAGAGGCATTGACGCTGAAATTATACTCTAATAGCCTCGGTGCTTTTTTAGGCCCGATGGGCCTGTCGAAACTGTTTTTGCCCATGAGTCCTCGGTTGTTCTGTCCTTGGTCATTCCTTCTTTCATATCTCATAGGGTTTCGCCCGGATCCACTGCTTTTACGGCCCTTATTGTACGGTTGATACCGATTCCGGT